TTTTCCATAAAGAAAGGTCTGGGAGTTGTGGAAGTTTGAAACTGTATTATTTTGTAGTTGGGAATTGAAAAATCTAACAGAGTGTAAACAGGAGTTTCAATCAAAATGAACTGACAATGCGTGCAATAAAAGAGGTGCTGGGCGTGGGCAGAGTTTGTGAAAAGTTTAAAAGAGATGCCTATTAATTACAATACATGTAAAGAACGCTTTTGGGGCGGCTTCAGAGGCAATAATCATAATTAATAGCCTGGAACAAAGGCTATTAATAATTTATGAGGGTAATAAATACGCAGTGTAAGTGAACTGGACGGGACGTGAAAATTAATTAAGCGAAGATGAATTATAAATAATGTGAATTATATTATATAAAAGTATTATATCAACAGCAAGTCGCGGATAGAATCGTAAAAAGTGGAAAGATTGGCACGCCAAGCGGTTGTTAATATAGATAGTATGAGATTTCACCCATGTGAAGTTATCCATAAATTCTATCCATAAAATATCATAATATTAATATAATAATATCATAATCCATAAAAGATTTTAGGCGGGAACACCTTAAATTCCACGAAAAACAGTAAAATATACAAAAAACTTCTAACTAATTAACATAATACCTCATATTGATTACTAAATCAAAACTGTCTTCTACATAAAAGTGAACTTTGGTCGTCGTTAAATCATATGGGTAATTAGAAAAGTGCAACAAAACACGAACCTGTTGCCAGACGTACGTGGCGGCAGGCGGTTCTTTGAAAAGCAAAATCATATCCATAAGTATAAATTTTTTGTTAATGGTCCGATTCAAGTGTGTGATACTTTTTTGGAAAGGGCTCGTCTTGTAGATCCTATCATATTAATGGCGGCGCGAAATTCTAATAATAACAGTAATTAAACGAGTAAAAACGTTATAATCAATCATACCCATAAATATAACTTTTCCGTTAATTGTCCGATTTTAATGTGTGATACCTTTTTTGGAAAGGGCTCGTCCTGTAGATCACGTCATAGTAATGGCGGCGTGAAATTATAACAATAACGGTACATAAACGATTAAAAATGTTATAAACAGTCATATCCATAAATATAATTTTTTTGTTAATTATCGATTTTAATGTGTTACCTTTCTGGAAAAGGCTCGTACTGTAGATCATATCATAGTAATATACGGTAGCGCTAAGGACAGTAGAATCTAACAGGACTGCTACATGCATTGTATTTTTGTAGCCCACTACGGGTTGGTTGCCCGCACTCTACGTCACACTATTTTCCACGCCCTGTTAACTGTCATTGAGTACTATGCGTTTGATGTGTGTTTTTTGAGATTTAGAATAAGATAGATATAATAGATTTAAAATAATATGAATACGTCTACGATATATAACCTTTAAAAATACACAGCAAACGCATAGAGCTGGGCGTGGCAAATGGTATGACGTAGTTTGCGGGCAGGTTGTCACAACAATAAATGTAGCAGTCTTGTTAGATTCTACTGTCCTTGCGGTAGCGCAAAATTCTAACAATAACGCTATTTAAACGATTAAAAACGTTAAAAATAATTATATTCTTAGTCCTTTAAACATTCTTAGTAATTCTCCAATTTTTGTAATAAGTAAAAACACAATATATTAATAAAATACTACAATATATTAAGACCGTTACCCACAATCGAATAGAAAGACAGTCTTTCGAAAAATCGATAAACTATGTAAAAATATTGGTAATATTTTCAGATCCTAAAATGGTTTAATTTTTGCAATAAAAACTTTGGTGACGTTTACGAGGTTTTCGCGTTAAATCAAGAAAACACAAACGTGCATCGTTCGAATCTCTTCTTCTAGCGCATAAGATTCTCGTGGCATCTCAGGCTCATGCACCTTTTACTGATTTTTATTTCAACCAACCGCGTGCGAAACAACGGTGACGTCTCCAAAGTTTTTTTTTAATTTTCCAAACTATCTTTGCAGATATTATGATACATCTACGACCAGTGCCTGCATTTAAATTCATTATGAACCTCTTCAACGCAATAGAGAAGTCTTTAATGAGTCGGAGTTTTTTTTAATAAAGTTTCAATAATTATTTTTCTGTATGAATCTGCATTTAATGATTTAAATGACTTATTTGATAATATACAGTCAATCAAATGACAGACAAGAACTCCACAATTGTAACAATCTACTTGTAAAGGATAATTTAATTTTTGAAATTTGTTTTAAATGTTCCTGGCTGTTCTTAAAGGTAGTATTTTCATATTGTGATTCATATAATATGTTATTGTATGAGTGATTAACTTTGCTATTACACATTAAAATCGGACAATTAGTAAAATCCATAAATATAACTTATATTTATGGATATGATTGTTTATATCGTTTTTACTCGTTTAATTACGGTTATTGTTCGAATTTCGCGCCGCCATTACTATGATATGATCTACAGGACGACACACTTGAATCGGACCATTAACAAAAAACTCAAGAACTTTTATTCATAACATAACAGTTTTCGTTAGCCGCCTCAGGTATGCACTGTATTTTCAGATTATTAGGTCTGAAGTACTGTTGAAGTACCTGTTTCCTCAATTGTACATTATCGGCGGAAAGACTATCAATTACCATGCTTTTCTTTGAAAAGTATTTCAAAATCTAATATTTGATCACTACAGAATTGAACGGAGCTCATCCTTTCTAGTTTTCATAAGTCTAAGCCCCAAACGTATCTCGCTAACCATTTCGTAGACAGCGTCGATTATCGGAGCGGAGGCCATAACGCGTTTATTGAAGTCATGCGACAACATAGTCCTTTTACAATTACTACCACTGCCACGACGAACCTGGGGCGGAGAGCGCCGAGGCCGCAGCTTTGGAGAGCTCCACGCATTTGGCGTGAAACCAAACATCACAACACACGCAATGAATTCCCGCTTTATCTCTCCTCACCAGCTGTCCGCAAGACCCCGCTGAGTTGAAGGCATCGAAAAAACTAGTTTTTACGCGAACAAATAGATACCGATAATAAAATTAAATAATTGCAGATAGATCCAATGTAGCACCGCTAACGAAAGATAGTGTCAACACAAATTAAACACCACTCTGCCAACTTTTAACCACGAAAAAATACACTTGTTGCATATAAACATTAATTTTAAACTTGAAAACTACAAGAGCTGATTGAGCGTAGCACGCTGTTCTGCTGACGTCATTTTTTGGATAATGGAAGAACAAAGGATTTACCAATCCATAAAATTACCGTCTTTGTGGAGAGACGAAATTTTGTAAGAGGAGCAGGCAATGGGCCAAAAGGAACATGGGGATACACCATCTAGCTGCAATATAGTGTATTAAATAACAATGTACATACAGGGCGTCTCATATGTACACAAAGTTACACAGTAAAATAAAGTTGATCAAATTTCCAGAAAAACTAAAAGTGATAAACAATTTTTATAAGTTTAAATTTTTTGTAATTTTATAAACAAGTTATTTGGGTTGGGTTTTATTTTATACAGAGTGATTTATTAGCTCACCATCAAATTTTGACATATGACATATATTAAAGTTTTCTGCAGCGAATTTATTAATAGTTAGTAAAATCAAACATTCAACAAAAACAAAGTTGTCATTGTAATAATACATATTTCAGTTTGCTGTAAGGTTTAATTATTACATACAAGAAGAAACTCAAAATGTACGCTTATAGCACTGAGGAGTATGCTGATATAATTTTCGTGTATGGTTTTTGCAATGGAAGTGTTCGACAAGTCATCGACAGCGTCATTTGCCATATTATTCAGTTTTTAGCGATTCTTTCAGAAGACTTTGAGAAACAGGTAATCTTGCTCCAGGAAAAGCTATTCGAACGCATGTAGTTAATGTAGAACACGAAGAAGCTGTAATTAATGCTGTCATTGATAATCCTTCCATCAACACTCGAAAAATAGCACACAATATACACGTAAGTCAAAATTTTGCATGGCGCGTATTGAAAAATCCTTCATCCGTATCGTAAACAAAATGTTCAAGCTCTACAGCCAGGAGATAATCAGCAATGATTAGCATTCTGTGAATGGTTATTGATTGCAACAACATGCCCAAAATAATGACTTTATTTCAAATGTTCTCTGGACAGATGAATCATGTTTTACACGAGATGGCATTACAAAATCCGCATGCGATTAGATCAAGGAAATCCCCCGACCTTAATCCATTGGATTTCTACTTATGGGGTCAAATGAAACAAATTGTGTATCAAGTGGAAATTAACACACGAGAACAGTTATTAGACAGAATACAAATGGCCGCTACTGAAATAAGAAATTAACCAGACATTTTAATTCGGCTGAAGAACTCTTTAATTCGTCGTTGTGAAGCACGTATTCTAGCAGAAGGGAGCTATTATGAACAATATTTATGTGTTTTAAAAAATAATGTTGCAGTTAATTATGATGTAAAAATTAAAACTTTAAAGTGTTATAATTTCGTAAATAATTGAAATAGGACATTAATTTTTTTTTGGTAATTGGATTAGCTATAATATGTCAAAGTTTGATGGTGAGCTAATAAATCACCCTGTATATAAGCATTATATACTGCAAATAAACAATAATAAAATTAAAATTTACCATCAAGGGGTTCCTCTTTAATACGAATTTCACCCCCATCATCCGTTTTAATGTACTCCAATCGTTCACCACCTCTTTCCCTTTCACGTCGTTCCCTACGTTCTCGTTTCCTCTCTCGTTCTCTTTCGCGATCCCTCGATTTAGATCGCCTCCTTTTCCTCTCCCTATCACGATCCCTCTCTCTATATAACAAAAAAGGAATTTTTTTTGTTTATTTGGAATTTATTTAAATTGTTTTTTTTAACCTTTCGCGTTCTTTTTCCCTCGGTGGCCTTTCAACCTCCTCAACTTCCGAATCACGCACACGCTCGCGACTTCTACGTCTGTTTTCTCTACGCGGAGACCTCGATCGAGAAGATCGTTTCCTTCTTTCGCGAGATCGCGATCGTCGTCGTTCGTAATTCGCGAGGCGATCGTTTCGGTCGCGTTCACGATCTCTTCCGGTACCACCTCCGCCTCCTCCTCCTCCACCACCACCACCACCCAAAGCTCCACCTCCGCGTTCTTCTCGTTCCCGTTCTAATCGGTAACGTTCGCGTTCTCTTTCGTTGTCTTCGCGACCCGAATGTTTTATGTTAACGTCGGGACCTCCTCTTCTTGTACCACCAAGACCACCACCTAAAAAAAAAATGATTGGGGGTGTAATATTTTTTGAAGGAATTATTTTGATGTGATTTAAAACTTACCAAGTCTTCGAGGTAACCATCCTTTGACAGTCCTAGCTCGTTCAACATCGACCAAAACGCGACGACCATCAATTTTCTTACCGTCTGCATGTTTGTATGCAGCTGTAAATAACATTGCACATTTCTCAGTTTACATCCTCAACGATAAGAAAAAAAATTTTTGGATGTGTCAGCTTCGCGAAAAATTAAATTAATGAAATTAAGCTGGCAGAAACGATCGATTAAAGCCGACACAATAATAAATTGAATGATATTCCGTGACAAATAAGATGTTTTAAACAACGATATAGGATTTTTTTCGATTGAGAGAAAATTAGCTTTAACAAGTAAGAAATTGTCCATTGCTGCTGCGTCACCTGAACATCGGAACAAATCTCATAAAAACAGATTAAAAAAGAAATAAAATAGGTATAATTGAAATATACCTACCCGGGTTTTACTTACGTTAAAATAACACATCGTAATTGAAAAAGTGGAAAACTAATAGTCTTTATTAAACTCGAAGGAGAACACTTCCGTAGGTCCTTTTTATGCAATTTTTTTGTTTACCTGGTGCGCAAGTACTTACGATCGCGCAAACCCTTTGTTTTTTTAATTAAATTATAATTTCGAATTAATAATTTTTCGTTAAAGAATTTTAAGTGAAACGGAATTTAGAAAAAGATTTTCGCTACATTTTCGACAATAAAAAAATACTCAATTGAAAAACCCCAACAAACAACAAAAGATATTTGTATGCAGGGTTCTTACCACACATACAAACCTATATAGCCAGCAAAAAGCGGTAGTATGGGGATAACGGCACTAAGTTGCCTGCAGCTCGGACTGTACAAAAAAAATAGAAAATGCTGTATTAATTTCATCGCTTAATGAAAGGTTTCGTATTATAATTTTTTAATTTACGGAAGTTGCTGGCTACATAAACTAAAAAAACACCCCTGAATATCCATCACATTAAAACAAATTACTCTTTTAGTTCCATCCCCATCTTATTTAGTTTTTATTCTAAGAATATTTTAACCTTCAATTACTTACCTCCCACCCACAACGAAAAAAAAAGGTTAAAATATTTTATTATTGATGCTTTTTAATGTCGATGGAGGGTTATCGCACAAAAAAATACGAACGTGGGGGTTCTGATTCAATTTGGTACTCACAGTGCATGTCCCTCTCGTGTTCGTACTCAATAAAAGCATATCCCCTCGGTTTACCATTAATCGTATTATGAATTAACACAATCTAAAACGATTTAAATAATTATACAAAACAATTATGTTAAAATAAATCTTTTTACTTTTTTTATCGGTCCGTATACTTCAAATTCTCTCCTCAATTTAGATTCCGATGTGTCATAATTCTGAAATAAAAACTTCTAAAGTATTTGATAAATAAATAAATAATTACATAAATTTTATTATAAATTAATATTAACGATTTTTCGCTGCTTAACCTCTCCTAAATTTGACAATGTTTGACATATAACCTCCATTACTAACCTAACATACATTTAAATGTATGTGGTGAAATAATCTCAGTCGTACGTCCATATCTTAATTCATACCATTTTTAAACGTCAAGTCACTGCCAGCTCTCGTGGTTTCTACTATATATGCAATTTTCCATTAGTGTTAAGCGCCCTTCACACGATCAATATTATATTGTCAATATGGCCAATAAATATTGACAAACTATAATTGCTTCAGACAATATTTATTGACAATCTACTTAATTTTGCGTTGGCTGTCAAAGATGTCATGTTATGTTTACATGTGTTAAAGTCCCTAGATTTACAAAGTACCGCGGTTCATGACGCCTGTTTTCGAGCCAAAATGCCGGTTTGACAACTTGTCACTGCATCTCACCACTTATTTACAAAAATATTGCCGTCTTGTTGCCTTTGGAGTTGAAAAAATAGCAGTAAGAAGGGCTTTCAACTTTTCAGAGTACCAGGAGAGAAAGAAAGAAATTTTGGCGTAATTATATTGGCGCGGTACTTTGTAAATCTAGCGACTTTAACATGTGTTAATGAACCATTCTGGGAGTTAATAGCACTTTCGTCCATTAAAGTATATCTGTCTGAATTCATTATTACGCAATATAAACCGTAATATAATCATACTAACGTAGGATTGTCAATATCTCCCTCAGACTGTCAATCATAGAAAATAGCTTCGTAGAAATGCAACAAAAACTTCGTACTAAAAATTGAACGCATGTGGCGCCATCTGTTGGGGATATTTTGGAATTATTCAGCTAAGAACCGAACCACTAGAATACAGGTGGATTGGGTTTACATATAAAAGCTGCAACCACAAAATAACTGTTTGGAAAGTGGTTTTCAAACACTATGTTTCTCCAATTAACGTTCCGACTGGTTGGGAATTCCTCAGAAGCAATTACACCTGTCAAATAATTCCGCCATATTTGAATATCACTGCATCATATGACATGTGAGATTGCATCTGACGAGCTTCCAACCAATTATAACGTTAGCTGAAACAATGCTATAATGTTAATTATAATCTAATTATTTAATCCTACCATTATTACTTTATTATACTGTTACCGAAAAATCACTTTAAAATGACGTTTTCATCTGTCATTCTGAACAAACTTCAACTTTTAAAAGTTGAAGTTAGCGGCAAATTTAAACATATAAAACGAATTGGAATCTATATTTTTTAAATTAAAAGAATGATACTGGCAATAATTGTTATTGCTGTCTCTCATCATTCCCACTATTAATAATAAAATTGTTAGTTTAATTAAATTATTTCAGTATAGACCTAATGCCATCTTACGGGGGGATTTCGACATACAATCAGTCCCAAGTTCTCCTATCAAAGATCCCTGGGGCTGCTGTTAATATATCAAATATTTTCGTTTTCGTCAAACCATCCCATCAATATTTTTAATATTGACAATATGTCAATCTTTCTACTCACACGTTCAATAATATTGTCAATACTTACAATTAGATATTGACAATATATATTGATCGTGCGAAGGGCGCTTTAAAATAAAATAAACTAAGTGATGACATTTCAAATGATATTTTTTGACAATTTATCTTAGCAACTGTGGTTATAGTAAAAACCACGAGAGCTGGCAGTGACAGATCGCTTAAAAATGGTATGAATCAAGATATGGACGTACGACTTAGATTATTTCACCACATACATTTAAATGTTAGTAATGGAGGTTATATGTCAAACATTGTCAAAGATATTATTTAATGATTTTCCTTTCAAAGAAAACATTTTCGGCTTGTGAAAACACTAATAGATTCATGACAACGCTCACAAGACGTTTCGATTTGAGGTTATAATTATAAAGTGACATCCCTTAGAAGAACAGACGTACTTTTTTGACGTGGCCATTTGAATTGTACAGCAGGATAGCATTAAACTAATGCTATCTCTTTCCAACACACATTACTCTCTAGCGGTTTGTGAACTACGTATGGCATTTGTAAGAGCGGAAAACGATGATTTACTGCCAGCTCTCGTGGCGTCTACTATAGCAACTAAATTGTTTGGAGTCAGTATAAGTATAATATATTATATATGATAATTAGACAGTCTATTAAACTTTATTTGGTATAATTCAAGAATAATCATGTCGCTTAAAAATCGCCAATTTTCTTTTTAATCGACGGGAAATCACTTAAGTAAGCCGTTATAAACAAAAAAAAAGTGCGGAAAAGTGTAAAACTTACTGAAAAATCACTTTAAAGTTTCAATGTGATATCATTGACCGTGCTAACTATACAGGGTGGTTCAGTTTTTAATGGAGAAACTTTATTTTTTTACGCTAAAACTATTATCTTTGAGGAAAAAAACGAAGGAGGCAAAAAAGTACCAATAATGAATAAGCTTTACAACCTATATGTTTTTATGTTAATATTCCATCGCGTTAAAAAGTTGTAATAAAAAAATCAAAAGGGTTATGAATTTCATGCCCATAGAGGGCGCTAAGAAAGTTAAAGGTATCGTTGAAAATAAGATATTAACCTGTACTACATACATACAAAATATCAAATTCTACGTTTTACTTATACCCAAAATAGAAGATAAAATGTAAATTTTTGGCTCACCTTTGACAGGTCATAGCTTGAAAACAAAAGAGTTGCGACCCTATGCTTATATAAAAAAACTTGTGTTATTTTGGCAAGTACTACGTCCTCCTAAAGTTTCGAGATTAAAAATTGTATATTTTCGCAGCACATTTGGTTAAAACGCATATTTTCGAGTAAAATACACATATTTCTTAGGTTTTCGACGCACAACGACTAAAATGTTGTTGTTTACCATCTATAAATTAGATATCTTCACGATATCTAATTACAAATATGTTAAAAAAATTGACGTTGACATTTCTAACCGGAAGTTGACCATAACTTTATTAATATTGAAAATATAATACGAAGATTACAAATATATCAAAATTGAGGTTGAAATTTTAAACCTGAAGTTAGTTGTCATATAATAGATCAATGCACAACTTCATGGTGTTATTTCATGATGTATTCTTTATTAAAAAACCTTTAAAATGAGTCCAAATATGACGGAGTTATCACAACATACAAAAAAGTTAGAATAAAAAACATTAAACCCGAAGTTAGCAATTTAATTTTTAAATATTAATACCAACCTTAATTATTGATTTTTTTTAACATATTTTCGTTTTTGTGACAAATTTGAAGACATTTTATAAAAATTAAGAATATATCAAAATGACGTAGACATTTCAAACCGGAAGTTCCTTATATCTAGAGTAATGTTGGAATTAAACGTATCATGTTTGGACTGATTTTCCAGAATTTTTTCACGACGATTACAAATACATATGTCATAAAAGACGTTGACATTTCTAACCGGAAGTTGAGCATAACTTCATTAATATTGAAGATAAATTTGTCGTGTTTGTACTCATTTTAAAGGTTTTTTTAATGAAGATTACAAATATGGTAAAAGTGAGGTTGACATTTTAAACCTGAAGTTAGTTGTCATATAATCGACAAATGGACAACTTCATGGTGTTATTTCATGATGTATTCTTTATTAAAAACCAATACATTTCTTTCAAAAAACAAAAAAGAGAATAAAAAATTTTAACCTTGAATGTTTTTAGTTCTAGTGATAGTTCTAGTTTTACACTAGCACTATCACTACAACTAAAACAAGACCTAGAAATAGAATCATTCGGGTTTAGCCGCCCTGAGATACGTGCGGCTAAACCCGAATGTTTCTAGTTCTAGATCTAATGTTAGTTTTAGTGACAGCGATATGTAGCACTAGTTAGCATAAGATATTACTATGTTGCATATTTTTATTGCACTAAAACTAGAACTAACACTAGATCCGATATTTTTCTAGTTCTAGGTGTAGTGTTAGTTCTAGTTTTAAATTTTGACGTAAGTTATATTTTTATAACGATCTGTTAATTTAGTCTATTTGATGTGATGATTTTTTGTTTCCACTTACACAGAATTTGGCTGATGATGACTTAAAAGTCGAAACCAGTACCAATGAACATTTAAAAACGAGCAAGTAAGAAGTTTTATATAAAATAATTTCCTTCACATCTAGTTTTAAATGTTGTTTAGCGGTAGATTATGGTACATTTTTAATGAAAGAAAAGTAGAACTAACACTACACCCAGAATTAGAAACATTCGGGTTTAGCTGTGTGTCTCTTAAGAGGGCTAAACCTGAATGTTTCTAGTTCTAGTGACAGTGGGCGGTAGCGGTAATTAGCGTAAGATATCACTATGTTGCATATTTTGATTTCACTAAAACTAGACCTAGAATACTTTCTAGTTTTAGGTCTAGTGCTAGTTCTAGTTTTACACTAACACTAGAACTAACACAAGACCTAAAACTAGAATCATTCGGGTTTAACCGTCTTGAGAGACGTGAGGCTAAATCCGAATGTTTCTAGTTTTCGGTCTAGTGTTAGTTCTAGTATTAACACAGAGTCTATTGATACACAGTCTATCTAACGACAAATAGTAAGTCGTTATGCATCGAAAGCCTAAGAAAAACAAGGGTGTTTCATCCGTAAATATTCGTTGTAATCTCACCTAGTTTAGTGAAAATAACTTTACTTTTAAGTTTATCAGATTGATTTTGTGTGTGGCTATAAAATAAACCAAGGAAATTGTATATATAGAAGCCAATGCAAGAGCATTTGTTTGGAAACAAAATTAACCTTGCTCCTAGCGACAGTGGCGTGTACAATTTACATGAAATTGATCAGACTTTATCCAGTGGCATATCCAAAGAACATCCAAATTTCATATGTATATAAAATTACAATAAAAAATGAATTATTGTTAAACTAATTAACTACCAATTGATATTATGAGTGAGATATTATGAGGCATATTTGACAAAATTGTATTGGTTAATTTTAGATGTGTGTTATGGGTTTTGAACAACATGTTTTGTCTTTTATATTCCCCTATAGCTTTTTCACTAATTGAGGAAATTTTTAATACCAGTTCTGATGGCATTGTTAAAACACAGTATGTTTTTTTTGCACCTGCAACATTAATGCATCATTGACTCCTATTATTCTTAAACTTAAGTTTGCATGATAATTGGGTTTTAATTTTTTTTTACAATATATTCGGCTATATACGCCACTATATCAAATTGTCTTGCAGTCAGATTATTACAAAATCCTCCTGGTGGTCTCATTGCACAAAAAAAAATGTCTAAGTGGCCTTGTAAAATTCTATATGTTAAAATATTTTTTAATGTGCATTCATTTTGTATATATTTGCTATACATTAATCTTTAACTTTGAATACATATTAAAAAGCCTAACAATCTCAAATTACATAGCCTAAACTACACAAAATTTGCTCATTTTCAAGTTTTTCATCAATTTTCATTTCTTAAAATAATAATAATAATCTTAATGCACCTCAAAGCAAGTATCTACATCACATATCCTTTCTTTAGTTTTATGAGGGTGCAATAACAACTTCCAATTACTGTTTATAATGAATTTTAAAACCTAAAATAATACTTAACATTCAAGAGTGCTCACAACTGCTTTTATATACATAATTTCTTTGGGTTTAATAGAAAAATGTATGGTTAACATTGCTTGTGACATCACATCAAAATTTTAATGTGATTTTTCGATATGTTCTACACTTTTATTTTATTTTTAACATGTTTTTTGTGCCATTTCACATTGATTAAAAAAAAATCGACGATTTTTAATCCATATGACGATTCTTGAATTTTTCCCTTTGTTTTATTAATAAAACAAAAATGTTTACTCGCTTTGCAATCTTTAAAGCAATTAAATACGGTAAAGATGAATATCGACAAGTAATAATCGTTCAATTTTCCTGGGTTTACATACACGCAATCTTTAGCATTAATAAGAAAGCATGTGAACAAACCAGGTGGTTAAATCTTAATCAATAATTTAAATTCTTACAATTCTAGCGACAAATAACGTCTTAAAAGGATCAACGGTCATATTCGGTTGGGAATTAGGATCCCAAACCGCAATTTCTTGCTCCAATTTGTAAGCGACTTGCTCGGCTCGTTCCCTCCTTCTACGTTCCAACCTTTCCTCTCTGGTTTCAACTCGAGTCGGTGGTGGAGTATCTTTAGGATCCTAATCAATAAAATAATATTAATTAATTAATGTTGGACGAGTAAATTAAATTACTTACCTCGAATTCCGATAAGAACGCCCCAATTCCGACATATCCCCTGTTCTTTTTTTCGTGAGGTAATTTACTGGCTGGTGGCAAATAAGGAATTGGATCCCTCGGGGCGAAAAGAGCCAGCAAATTCGGCGGGAGGAATTGCGTCATGGCTTTTTAAGACATTAAACGGGAGAAACCGTGAAAAACTTGCGCTGGGAAACGTTATGTAAGTCGGAGAAGGAAATCGGGAACGTGTTTGTAAGCAATATGGCGACTTTTGTGGCGAACGAAGCACGTCACTTTCTTGGCGTGGATTATTAAGTGGCTAACTTTACGGTGGAGTGGTACCAACCCAAATATTTATTGAATCAATACAAAATATAATTATTAAAAAATTTAATTATTATAATGTAATATTATAATATATTTGTTATATAAGTTATGATATAATTAGTTATTTGTAAAAAATTGTTTAGTTTGATTGTAAAGATACTGTCAATAATTTTTAAGTTTAACAGACGAATTAAGAGTTAAATTAGAAAGAATTTAACAGTTTAATTAGTATAGTATGATCAAGAATTATTCTAGAATCAAGGTTATTCTAGTATTTAGCCTTCAATTGGCGTGATGTTTGAAGACTAAAAACCATTTATGAAAGTGAAGATGTCAGATGGAATAATACAACTACCCCAGACAAGTAGGAGTTTATCTCCAGAATTTTGTACTGATAATTTATAAGAATGTCCTTTATATTCTGAGGGGAAACCAACTGACAAAGATAATAAACAGCTCTACACAACATATACAGAAATGCGACCATGTCAGCGAAACTACAAGAAAGCATCAATTCTGTCCAAGTAGTCAAAGTAGCACTACTACTTTGTTATCTATAGTTATGTACACCTTCTTGTTCTTAAATGTGACCTCACCTCCATTTTCTGTTATGGCACTTACTGATAACAGGTTTTTACTCAGCTCTGGTACAAATAATGTTCTTTCCAAAATACAAGTTTCTCCTTCTATTGACCCCAAACCCTCTGATTTAATCATCTTTGCGATATCAACCTTTGTTGTGTTCTTTTCCAAGTTTTGCAACAAACTGCCATCATTTCCATGTGGCTAGACGCTCCAGAATCCATAATAAACAACTTTTGGTTGTGTATTTCCTTTGCTTCATGTGTAAGAAACTTTCCGTCTACATCAGATTAGTTATATCAGATATTTACGCTGTAAAGATGTCCGTGAGCGTTAAATAGAATTCCTATTTGAATAGCCCACGGACAAGTTAGCCCGAGTTAACTAGCTTCTCAATTTTTGAAGTTTCCTCGTAACTAAGAATCGAAGTCATTCCAACTGTGAATGTCTAATAACTAGTGGTAGAACTGATATCCGGCAACTATCCGGTATCCAGTCTATCCGGCAATTTTTTAAAACCGGTGGGATACCGGATAGTTACCAAAGCCGGATATTAAAAACCTATTACTTAGTACTCCACCATTCACAGAAATTAGTATCTCTTTTAGGTTTACATTCAAAATTCGTTATAAAATTTATTTCTTAAAGGACCCTTGTGGCAATATCACCAATTATTAATTAAAGTATTCTCTTTTTAATGCAAAAAGCCGTTTTGAAAAATCACTTTTAGTTCTTGAGAAATAAATTTTTGAAATGATCGACAATTTTTTCGAATTTTGCAATTTTCGCCGATTAAGTTTTAAAAATTCGTATAAAATCCATTTCTTATATAAAATCTCTTGTTGCAGTTTCGTATAGTTTCCATAATGGCCGGATAGATATGCCGGATAACCGGATATCCGGCCGCGGGAATGCCGAATATCCGGTATCCGGCTTTTCGCAAAATCACTATTTGATATTTTCTTAAAAACTTCCACTAGCAGCTGGTAACTCTCATCCTTTTTATTTTTATCCATATATTCACTACTTTTCACTTTCCAAAGTCAAGAAGTACTTTTCACTTCTTTAGTATATACTTATAAATTCACACCATAGCCTCTTCTTAATTACGAACAGCCATTTCGTAAACAAACTTGAATAATACGCTTGCGAAGATCAATTTAAAACTGAGAAGAATGACATGAACTGTCTCTACGCGTACAAGCTTGCACACGACGGGCCGTGCAAAATCAAGCTCAGCCAGATCTTATCGTTCCATGTCTAGACCTGACAGCGCCATCAGTTTTGGGGCATAGACGATTACATTTGCTCGTGTGTATTAGAGTCGCAGGCTTGGGCCAAATGGTTGTTTCAGGTAAATAGCTTTTTCGTAGTCAGTTACTATCTGCCTAGGCAAATAGTCTTTTTCTATTTATTTCAGTCTAAATTCTAGGTTCTTTCCTAGGCAAATAGCATATGGCTAAAATATTTTCAGGCAAATAGCTCTCAGAAATATAATAAGGCCGACTTTTACCACCTCTTGATGAATTTATCCGATAGATAAATTATCGCTCTTAGCCAATGAGAGCTCTTAAAACCGCTGTAACCATGGTAATTATCCCTTAGATAGTTTATCAGGAGGATGGTAAAAGTGATTTCATTGATTGATACTGAATTATTTCCAGACACTAGTTTATTAATAATATGTTTATTTAAGTGTCCTTGATCATTTCGGAAAAGTAGAAATAGTTATTCTGCGACTTCTGTAGATGTTCTTTAAATCTTTTTTGACTGTGGTTATCTCTGATGTGTTCTCCTGCAGTTTGAGCTCACTGTTTTTTTTCTGACAAACCTGTTCATCCTGCCACGATAAGATTTAACGCCTTGAACACTTATAAATTTAGTTTTAGAAAGCCTGATGTGATAGAGGCCTAGATTCTTATCTTATTTATTTTTTATGATAGGAGCGTTTGTTTGGTGATAACTAATACACCAAGATTTCTCTAAATATTCATCTCAGATCTTTCATCAAGATTTTGAAGTTAGTACCGGCGAAGTTTCACAGCTACTATATACTTTGCTTGGAATGTTATTTACTTCCCATGAACTTGTCTTGGATTCCTTTTGAAAATATAATGCAATAAGGTGATAAGTCCACTTAATAGGTTAAAAAAGCTAGTTCTAAAACATGACATATCACAAAACTCTGCTTCAAGATCAGATGGTATCTAANCGATGTTGCAATTTTCATCGATAATTTTCAAAATTCGCTATAAAATTCATTTCTTGAAGGATTCTTGTGGAAATATCACCAATTATTAATTAAAGTATTCTCTTTTTAATACAAAAAGCCGTTTCGAAAAATCACTTTTAGTTCTTGAGAAATAAATTTTTGAAATAATCGACAATTTTTTCGAATTTTGTAATTTCTGCCGATTAAATTTTAATAATTCGTATAAAATCGATTTTTTGGAATATGAGTATGAAAATTTCCCAAAGTGTCAATAAAAGTGTCTTCTTTCCAATGAACCAACCCATTTTGAAAAACAACTTTTAGTTTTTGAGAAAACAATATTTGAAGTTTTGAAAAAATTTTCGATTTTGTAATTTTCATAGATAATTTTCAAAATTCGCTATAAAATTAATTTCTTGAAGGATCCTTGTGGAAATTACACCAATTATTAATTAAAGTATCTTCTCTTTAATGCAACAAGCCGTTTTGAAAAATCACTTTTAGTTCTTGAGAAATAAATTTTTGAAAAAATCGACAATTTTTTCAAATTTTACAATATCTGCCGATTAAATTTTAATAATTCGTATAAAATCAATTTTTTGGAATATGAGTATGAAAATTTCCCAAAGTGTTAATAAAAGTGTCTTCTTTCCAATGAACCAACCCATTTTGAAAAATA